AATATAAGCAGACATTAACTTTATGTCACTTATAAAGAAATTGATACTCAGAAGTTAAATGGCTCATCCCAGAATCTCACAGTATATTAGTGGTTGATTCAAGAACTAAATTTCAATTTTCTGTCTCTAATTTTTTCAAGTATAGCCCTTAAAATGCTTTTGTTTTATGAGAAAGATAAAGTAATAAAAAAACAATTACAAATTGCTTGGAGGGGAGAATGAAACTGAAGGATTCTCAGTGAGCCCAGCCTGGGTGACAAAGCAATATTCTGTCTCAAAAAAAAAAAAAAAGATTACTGTAAAACTTATTCATTCATTACTGCAAAATATATAACAAATCCTATATTTTTGGGGAGGAGGTGCCAGGGATTGAACTCAGGAGCACAAAACCACAGAGCCATATCCCTAGCTATGTTTTGTATATTATTTAGAGACAGGGTCTCACTAAGTTGCTTAGCACCTTGCTTTTGCTGAGGCTGGCTTTTAGCTCTCGATCCTCCTGCCTCAGCTTCCCAAGCTGCTGGGATTACAGGTGTGCGCCACCGTGCCCGGCTGACAAATTCTATCTTTATTAGCCCAATGCAGTTTGTTTTTAAGATATAATAAAAATATTTATTTTCCTTAGAATTTCTGTGATTATTGATGTTCATCAGTTCTTTTCCCCCTTTATGGAGCAATCCCAGTGAGATTTAACAAAACATTTACATAGCTATGCAGTTTGCTAAATTTTTTCTCTGGTACTGAGGATCAAACCACTAAGCCATACCAACAATTTTGTTAATTTTAAGCTAAATATATAACTTTAGCTTTTATTATATATTTTCATTTTTTTCTGTCTTCCCACATTCTCTCTCAAATGTTTTATGTGTATGTATTTCATATGCTGTAAATTTATTTGACTATGAAACTGATAAACTGGGACTTTACGTCCTAAAAATCTTTTCAGATTCAACCTTTATCATCCCTACAGCTAATTTTTTCACTTGAATTGTCTTCTTAGTGAACCTCTCTCTACTGTGAGTTCCCTCCTCCAATCTGTATTTCATGTTATATCCCCTCTTAACACCACTTGATGAGTAACTCCTAATCATATCAAAATAAAGTCCAAAGTTTCTTGTCCTGTGTATAGTTAATATTTATATGCCCCTTATACTTCAATAGTAGTAAGACCCTAATCAGAAACCAAAGTTATTATAGTCATGGGCAACCATGAGACATGAGTTTTCTTAAATGTTTTCTATTTCTAATCACATAAGGATTTAATTAGTAAGTACAATAATTATTTATAAATGATTTCTAGAGAAGGTTTAACTTAATTGTGACTTAAATCAACAGTAATTTTTTAAATACATTTAAAGGAAAAGATGCTATTTATTATAATCAACGGCTATAGTTACCTTAGTAGCAGTCAACACACATTTTTAAAAAAGGACATAGTAAGTACTCTAAGAGGAAACAGGAATTATATATATATATAAGTTATCAGGAAAAGTTTCTAATTAAATGCCAAACAGTGGTTTCCTTACATTTTTGTATTATTTCTGTGATGATAGAAGAGAAGAGATGGAAGAAGGGTAGAAGTAACAAGAGTTAAACATTTTTGATTGTATTCATATGCTTCACATGACTTTCTTGACTTTATAAATTTTAATTTTTTTCTTTTTGTGTGGCCAGTATCATCAGAAAGAAAAATATTGCATTTTAGATTTTATTGTCAACATTTAGTTGTCAATTTAATTGGAACTTCTATGTTTTTTTGAACTACAACAGTCAGAAGTCCTTTGAACACCTCTGATTTTAAAACAATCCCTAACTGGAACATTCACCAACTTGAAAATTTCCTTTGAGGTAAAACCAAGTTCAGAATGTTTTTTTTTTAAACTTTATCAGATAATGTCGAATGAAATTCATAAATCTAGATATTTGTGATTCAGGTGAGCAGCAACAAGTTGACAGATTGTAGAGAAGAAGCTCCCCTCCATTTACTCAGTGTGGAATCATTCCTTAAATTTGAAATGTGTGCATGGAACTTATTAACAGAAATAATTCTGTGGGTGTATGCCATTTACTATAAGTAGAACTCAATATAATATACGTATAAAGATAACTATAAAAGCTGCTACATATTCTTATGTATGTACTTTTAGTCATGTTGTATTTCAACAAAAAAGACTACTAACAATGTTGGAAAGCTGTGTCAAAGATCAATCACAATCTTTAAAAATAGTGAGCATGTAAATAATATGATAGGAAAAATATTTAAGGTATGATTTTGATAGTAATCCAAAGAATCTGAGTATATGCCAATTTAAAATGTAACTGGATGCATTATTAGATGACTAAAGAATAACAATTTTATTTGCTTCTGCCAGCTCAATCTCTGACTTAAAATTCCTGTTGTAGATCTGAAGTTTTTAATTCAGTCAAATTCTTATTCTTAGAACATCTTTAAGTATGAAAATATGTAATAGAATTTTTATATTTTTTTATTAGTTGCTCAAGACAGTACAATGATCCTGACATATCATACATTTGACTCAAATAGGGTATGATTTAAGTTTGGAGTATTATCAGTATTGAGAAGACTGACTTTTTACAACCAAGCTTATACTTGTTCAGTTGAGCTGATATTAAATGGCACTTTGCACAGGGTTTTTGATAATAACTTATTTGGTCTTTACACAAAAATGATGAGATTCTCATCTTACAAGTACACAGGCACCACACTTCTGATTTGCCCATTCACATGGCAAAGAGACCAAGTGGTAGCCACTTCCAGTGGGTTGGAGCATAGAGCCATGGCTTTTCTTTCATCATGCGGGACATTTCATTTATACTTCCATTTTTAAGATATGAAATTCAAGTGTCTTGTTTTAATAGCCTTGGAATCATATCAGTTTTTAATGAATAGAAAGTATACTGTTTAACAATATATATTTTATTTTATATTTTGTTTTTATTTTTTGGCGGGTACCAGGAATTGAACTCAGAGGCACTCAACCACTGAGACACATCCCCAGCCCTGTTATGTATTTTATTTAGAAACAGGGTCTCACTGAGTTGCTTAGCACCTTGTCCTTGTTGAAGCTGGCTTTGAACTCTCAATCCTCCTGTTTCAGCCTCCCGAGCTGCTGGGATTACAGGAATATGCCACCACACCCGGCAACAATATATAGTTTAAATAAGATATTCCCTCTCTTAAATTTAATTTTGCTTCACCAGTCATGTTGAATATGAATGAACAGGTATGCTCTGATGGATACTTGAGAATACTCAGGCTTATTGAATAGGAGAAATGGCAAATTAAATATATTACTATGGAGTAAATTCTGTAATTGAAGTGAGAATAAAATGTGGTAGGAGCAGAGAGTAAGTGACAATAGGATTCTTATCTAGGAGTCTCCTCTGGTATACTGAACTCCCAGCACTTGGTGTAAAACTGTAATCTTGCCTCCTTATTACAGGAAGGCAGGTAGACATTTGTTCAGCCACTACTGCTTGAAGGCTTTTTGGGCTTCTTAGAGAACTGTGAATATTCCTTCTAGGCTCTTCTGTTGATAGAGTAAAAGGGATATGGAAGTAGCCCTTTAGGGATCAATAGAGAGGAATTAGATTGGTCACTGTGGAAGGAACAGGTTGCTTCTCTATTAAACTGCATGTTTTGCAAGAAAAAGAGACAGGTTTGTCCAGTTTCATATTGAGCAATTCAGAGGTAAATATTGGAGTACAATGTTGAAGTGGAAGATATGTAAGATTCACAGGCTCAAAACTTTACATATTCTATATGATAGTTCTTGTACTTTGGTAAAATATAACCTGATTTCTACTTTTCAAAAAATCATGTATCAACCAAAAATATTTTTACAGTATATTAGATCCTTTATATAAAAGCTGGGCTGCAAAGTTCCCAGCTCAATTTTGTTTTATGAAAAAATAACACTCACTTATTGAACCTGAGAAGACAGTTCATAAAAATAAAAGGTGTATTTCCTTAATCACCAGAAAGATGTTATATTGGTCTTCTAATTGAATGCAGGATGTTTTGCTGTTGTCCATTTTGGATAAAAGTAATGCAGAAATCAAAATCTCTTTTATAATTAATAGACTGAAAGAAGTTGCCTTGTAAGATGAAAATTTTCTTTTGTAAAGAATAAAGGCCACTTAAAATATATGAGGTTGTTTTCCTCTATTAGCTGTAGCAAATAAAATTTTTCACACAGTTATGCAATATTGTTCAAGCCTGGCCATTCTGAATAGCTGGGGTGAGCAAGTATTTCCTTAAACATCATTTACTAGATATATGTGAATATGTATACATGTATTTGTAACCTAATGGCAGTAATATATTTAGATAATACTAATAGAATCTGACACAAATATCAAAAAACCAGTCTACTACCTTATGAGTTACATTTTATTTGTAGAAGAAAAATATGATTTATTTTTAATTGTAGCCATAAATGATCTCTAAAGTTTAAACAGGAAGAATAGCAATGAATAATGATTTTGTATTTTTTCAACAGCATTATTAAAAAGAAAAAGATTCAAAAGAACCTTCCCATGTTTGATCTGTTCTGAGAATTCATTTCTTAGAAAAGTGCAAGTTAATTCCAATTATATCTGATTCCTTTGCTCATTTTTCCTGCTTTTCATTGGAAAAGTTTATCCTTCTTTTATTTTAGGATGTTTGACACTCTAGCTTAAAAGTATTTTTGTTTCAAATAAATTAGTCAAGATAATGTTTTTACACTTAAAATCCAGATTACAGTGGTGGCATTAATTTTTTTTAAATATGTCATAATAGTTGGCAGTTTAACACTATATTAAGGTGGTTAAGAGTGGGCTTGGGAGAGAAACTTAGATTTCAGTTCTGTCTATCTCTAAACATTTACTGATTGTATGATCTTGGCCATTAGCTTTGGCTAATCACATTTTAGATATAGAATGAATCCATTTTAAGAAGAAACTATCTCACCGTAGTTCTTTTTGCTATTTTATAGATCAGTGTACCGTTACCCGGACATACCTATTTCTTCACAAATTCTGGTTCTTTAGTGCCGCATACTATTTTGGTAACTGGGCCTTTCTTGGGGTAAGTACAGATATCCCAGGCATGATTTTCCTTTATAAAGTTCAGTGTATAAACTCCTTGTTTGTATATCAGTAGTCCTTTTGTATCACAGTACTGCCATTGAATTTTAAATGCATTTCTTTTAAGTGATTTTATGTTTGAAAAATAACACCCAGCTTTTTTAAATTTACAGGTATTCTTGATTGGATTAATTGTATCCTGTTGTAAAGGGAAAAAATCAGTCATTGAAGGAGTAGATGAAGATTCAGACATAAGTGATGACGAGCCCTCTGTCTATTCTGTTTGACAGCCTTCTGTCTTAAAGGTTTTATAAAGCTGACTGAATATCTGTTATGCATTTTTAAAGTTTTAAAGTTATACATTAGGATAAACTAACTAGCTTTCATCAAAAATGGGAGCATGGCTGTTAAAAAGGACTATATTTTTTATGTTTCTGAAGTAACATTATTGTATCATAGATTAACACTTAAAATTGCTAAAATTAATACTGTGTAAATATGAAACTACCAGCTTTGTGAGGGAATGTTTGTGGAAAAAAAATCTTTAATGTATAATAGTGTTAAATTGATTAAAAATCTTCCAGAATTAATATTCCCTTTTGCTGCTTTTTAAAAACAATAATAAATCACTGATATCTATGCCTTAGAGTCTCCAGAATAGTATATCTGTCTCTGATTGTCTAAAAATAATACTCATAGTATAGCATAATAAACATTACTCCCATATGGAATTTGTTTTTAATTTTCTACTTAAAATCATTAGGGCCACTCAGGTGGATTTCATGAAAAAAATTCTAACTGCTTAAGATAATGGCATTCTAAGATGTTTGTTATATTATTCAAATATTAACCATTAAGTATGTTACCACTTCTACAAGAGTATTTAAGACATTTATGCATATATATACAGACATATATGTAAACACAAATATGTATACATATATGGATCAATCAATCTATCCATCTATCTATCCCTATGGGTGGCATGTGTTTCATAGATGACCTTAGAATTTGTCTTCCAACATAAATGGAATTGACTAGAATAATTCTGAAAAAAGATCAATTTACTGATCTTGACATCATATTTAAAAACATGTTTTCATTTTAAGGATTTGAAATTTGCACAAGAATATAGTGAAAGTTATATATACATATCAGTATTTTGAACACATTCTGAATAGTTAAAAATAACCACAAACAGTTATTCTAACTTACTAACACAAACAAATTACAATTCATAAAAAGTATACAATATGATCCTTGAAGTAAAATTTTAGTTTCTGAAAAAGATTTAAGAATTAACAATTATTCTTAAATCTGAATAATTGTTCAACTGAATTCTTCTGTCAATTTTTGTACCACTTTTTTCTGTTTTCATTCTTTAATTCTCTTGACATACGTTTAAAGACTTCATGTTTGACTTCAGATTCTTTATCTAATCTTTAGTGTTATTCATCAGGATTTCATTCTCTTCTGTTCTTGTTTTACATTTTCTCTGTGGATAATCTTACTGTATCCTTAGTTTCCATACATATTATTTTTTCTTACGTTCTGAAGTTTTACTTCACTGTCAACTAGAAATTACTGTTTCAATTGTATCATGTTGAAAGTATAACTAAGCCTCTCTCAGTACTTTTTTTTTTTTTGACAAATGGCCTAATTTTTCAAAATCAGGCCCACCTGATTGTCTAAACCAAATATCAAGCAGACTTTATGTCTCAGGTATAACTGACTCATCAAACAGTAAGTCATATTGATTTCTACTTTATATCTGTCCTTCAGCTTATCTCCTTTCCACTTTTACTACCACTCTGTTAAGGACTGAATAGTGAGTATCTCTCCAAACTTCCTATGTTGAAGCCCTGAACTCCTATACCTTGGAGTATGACTATATTTGGAGATACGTCTTTTAAAAAGATAATTAAGATAAAAAGAGCACTAAGACAATATGACTGGTGTCCTTGTAAGAGACATCTGGAATGTATGTGCATAAAGAAGAGGCCATGTGAGGACACGATTTTGAAGGCAATGGTCTGCAAGCTAAAGAAAGAGATTTCAAGAGAATCTAACCCTGCCAGTACCCTATACTTGGACTTCCTGACTCCATATCTGTGGGGGATTGGGGGAAGCAGGAATTCTATTACATAAGCCACCCAAGTCTGTGACATTTCGTTATGGTAGACTAATGCACATAATGGTTCTTGAACTTCCTCAATGGGTTTTCTGCCAAGTCCTGACTCTTTTCAGTCTTTCCATGGCATTTAAAATACAAATCAGTTTCTTTCATTTCTTTGCTGTGAAAAGATTTCAGTTATTTTAGAATAAAACCCATAGGCCCTTATGTGATATTTAAGGCTTTTCTGACTTCATCTTTCTCTGCCATCCCCACACCATTTATATGAGCCAGACTGACAAACTATCTACTTGGCTAGGATACCTCACATCTGCACTCTATGAACTATTCCTTCTATATGTAATGCCCCCCTTTTTTTTTTTTTAACCTTCCAAGAAAATCCTTATTCTTCAAGTGTCAGTCTTAGCACTTTAGGTTCCCCCTTCCTTAAGTCCCTCAGGCTTGGTTCCTTGCTGATTCTAGTACTCAGTGGCACCCTTTGCAGTGTCATTGTAACTAATTGCCTTTATGTCTGCCTCCTCCTGACTACAGATTTTGGAACACAACATCTGGTTTTGTAACTTTGTCCTCGTGCCTGCAGTAGCTCCTTGTACTTGGAACATATTCAGTTGACATGTAAATTTGCTAATTAGAAGTTTTAAGCCTATAAACTGGATTTTGATTAGAGTGGAAATGTATAGTCAATCTGTTTTTGTTTTTTGTTTTTTGTACCGGAGATTGAACTCAAGGGCACTTGACCACGGAGCCACATCCCCAGTCCTATTTTATATTTTATTTAGAGACTTGAGATTTATTTTGCTACCTAGAAGTTTAGAGTTTAGAGCTTGTATCATGTGTGTCTTAAATAACCCATACACTTACACATCATTATTTCAAGGAATAATTTCTTTTTGTCAGACCAACATCTTAGCTTTTTTTTTTGTTAGTTATATTTTTACAATGTGATTTTTCTTATTAGTTTCTCAAATTTTGTTGCATACATATTTAGAAGTCTACTTTGATTCTAACACTAAGGTGTTTTCCCCCCTCCTAGTGATATGGAATGCCTTTAACTTTATGATTTCATGAAACTAATTTAAGTGTTAGAATTACCACTAATGAACAACAATGTCCTTTGAAATTCTTCTGAAAATGCCTAAATTAGAGGTCTTCTCGAGTAATAACTTTCCAAAATACTAAGACCCTCATGTTCCATGCAAATCTCAAAGTGAGTATTTCAGTTGTGTAGAAGGTACTGGCAATATGAGGAACCAGGAACTGACTTCAAATTCAGGGCTACTATACTAGGATATGGTGAGGAGGGTGGGAAAATATATGTTTGTGTGTGTGTGTGTGTGTGTGAAGAAAAGAAATTAGGAACTCCAGGAAAACAAAGCAAAACAATACAAAAGATATAAGAAAAAATGTTTTCAAAGTATACTACTGAGCAGTGATATGCTGTTTTAGAATCAATCCATAGACAAACACAGTAGTAGACATTGATTATGGCACTGCATTTAAGTATCAACTTTGATCACTGTTTATGAGTTTTGTCACTGTGAAAAAAAATACCTGAGAAAATCAATTTAAAATGAGGAAAGATTTATTTTGGCTCCTGGTTTCAGAGGTTTCAGTCCATGGTCAGCTGGCTCCAGGTTTTGGGTAGAGCATCATGGCAGGGATTGTGTAGTAGAACAAGGCTGCTCATTTCATGGTGGCTAGGAAGGAGAGAGAGGGAGAGAGAGACAGAGAGAGAGAGAGAGAAGGAGGAAGGGACTGGTGTCTTAACTTTTCTGCCAAGGGCAGGCCCCCCCAGTGACCTAACTTCCTTCCATTAGACCCCACCTCCTAAAAGTTTCCAGCACTTTCCAGTAGTGTCATTGGCTGGAGACCAACCTAGTATAGCATGTGAGCTTAACGAATATTTAAGATCCAAACACTAACAATATAAAAAGATTGTTGATGAAGATTGGAAGGTTGAACAAGAGAGGTACAAAGAGACCTAAGGGGAAATGGGTGTTAAAACCCGCATTATACAGTGAGTAAGGAGAAGAAAAATGAAAAGATACTATCTCTGTTAGAGGGAGTATTGAAGGGTGGCAGAATTTGCTGCCACAAAGTAGACATTTTGGCATAAATCTACTGTAGATATTCTGACCGTGGAAATAGGGAAGCATTCCTCCGGTGAGCAAACTCCTGGGGGTAACTGGTGCCCTGATTCCCAGGATTAGAATCCCCGGCAATTCCCTGCTGAGGCTATGAAGTTAACTATGCAGATGCACTCCCTGGTTTACATAATGACATCCTTTAAAGGAGAGAGGCTTTGTTGCATTAACCTGGACCTTATCTCAGTTGGCTAGCACTCAGGATTAAAAGAAATACTGGCTAAAGTGTAGTCATTGGTGGTGGGTAATATGTAACTTTGGGTTATTAAAGATGAAGGCAGAGGGCTGGGGATGTGGCTCAAGCGGTAGTGCGCTTGCCTGGCGTGCGTGCGGCCCGGGTTCGATCCTCAGCACCACATACCAACAAAGATGTTGTGTCCGCCGAGAACTAAAAAATAAATATTAAAAATTCTCTCTCTCTCTCTCTCTCTCTCTCCCCCCTCTCTCACTCTCTCTTAAAAAAAAAAAAGATGAAGGCAGAGGGGTAGGATACCCCCTTTTGTCTGCCATCCTTCTGTCTGTCTGCACCTTCCCTGTGTGTCTGTGTCTGTCCTTTGTGTGCCTCTTCTACAAGTCTCCCCATACAGGTGTTCCTTTACAAGCTACTTTAAAAACAGCAGGTGCAAGAACATCTAACTTTCCCCCTTTTCTTCCTAAAAGCAGAAGATAAAACCATGCTAGAAGATATCCTTTCTATATCAAAAGTAAAGCACTATTCTTATCACTGGGACCATAATACCTTTATCAACAAATCTTGTGAAACTAACTTTTGTCTTCCTAGTAACTTTTCTACCATTAACTGTTCCTAGCCCAAGATTCTTTGTCTTGTTCCATTTCCATAATTTACTTCTCTTTATCTAATTCAGCATGTAAGCATTCAACTCTACTTCTTTGAGTCTTCATTTTCTCATGAGGGCTCCTGTGTCATGTAAAACTTAAATTTTGCACGTATTTCTCCTATTAATCTGTTTTTTTGTTACAGAGCCCCAGCTGGACTCCTAAAATGGATCAAGAAAAGATTATTTCACTACAGTTCATTAAAGTTGTAAAAATAAACGTAACTGGTGGACCATCTGAAATGGTAGTTTAGCAATGTTGTTAAACATTGTTAAAATGAGGAATTTCATCAGAAGATAAAATAGTTTGCAATTATATGTAAATGTATCTTTGAATCCTGGCAGCCAAGACAAAAGGAAGACGATGGATGATGACATTTTTACACTTGATAGAGGAAAACACTGAGTTTGTGTGAAGATAATGTTTTGGGCACTGAAATTTAGTTGGAAGTTACATTTTGACTCCTTATATAAAGAAAGTTAATGAGCAAATGTCTTTGTTAAAGTTTAACTAGAAAGTCATGTGCAAAGAGAATTTGGGATCTCCAGAGGAAATCTGGTTGGCTCTCAAGAACTCTCCAGATGGATTAGCTTTTATGTACATCATTCATTTATTTCAGTCAACTAATACCCAAGTTCCTGCAAATTCCAGGCACTGGATAATGACTACTGAATTTCTAGGATGGAAGAAAATAGCCCCCGTCAGAATGTGTAGGCAAGTGGCCCCATGGCAGTAACTGGACTTTTATCAATATCACCAAGATTTGTATGTCTGATGTGAATAAATATACATGAAACAAATTATCATATTTTGAGTTATAATAAAAATTTTTCTAGTGTTGAAATGCTGTCTTCTCCAAAGCACAACACATCCTCTCCTCGCACCGTATCAGAAGGTTTCTTAATTAGTTTGGAGTTAGAGTGATGCAAGATAGGTCCTTGGGAGGGACATTTCTGGCATTTTAGAGTGATGCTTCATAAATATCCACCATTATCAGAAGAATCAACTCCACGTTTACCAAATTGCCCAAGTTCCTGATATTGAGTTGTTTCCCTGGACAGACCTAGAAGCATACCAGCAGCATTTAACTAAATCTCAACTGACACATTTCATTAGATTTGCACATATGGATTAAGCTACACCCTGTTGCTAGGAAGGTCTCTCTCCCCCTCCCTGCCCCCACACATTGCCTTAATGAATTTTGGAGGTTGCCTTATTTCCCTCATTAGCAAGTTGTCAGGAAGCAACCTCTAATCTTCAACTAGGATTGCACAGAGGATGTAAAAACTTTCTTCTAGAATAAAGTCATTAAACAAATATTAAACCACAACTTAGGGATGACATTTTTCTGGAGACTTAAGCTAATATGATTCAGTGTTTTCTCTATGTAGTTCCCCCCTAGACTCTCATCTGCTTCAGCTAAGTAAAAGTGGGATTCTCACATATGTGTAAAGCAATGTCTTCTATTACTCATAGAAGACATTTTGCAGCAGATGAGCAGTCTAGGAGGTACCCAGAGCTGCCTCTTTTTTGCACATCAAGTTGGGGTATCTAGGACTCAGACAAAATTTGTGGGCAAATGATTTTTTTTTCCTTAAAGTTCTTCAATGACTATCCAAGTTGTATCTTTGATGAGCCAGACTCTGTTGTGTACTTTGTTCTAATATTTAATGAAAAGCAATCAAACTTTATTACATCCACTCTCCTCACTGGTCTGGTCCCACTTTGTATTTATCTGAAGTCTTTTGAAAACCTGGAGAAAGAGAGAGAGAGTAAGTAAATATACAGAGATATGCATGCACACAATTTCTGTTGATATAAGGGAAGAATAGTCTAATTTAAGGAAAATTTAAGTTTATTTCAGATGTATCTATAGCTCAAATGCTAACAAAACTATAATCAAGTCTGAAAGCCTGTAATGGATTTAGTTGCACATTCATGTGAACCAATGTTTGAATATCTAGTATGCTATAAATTGGAGACATAGAAATGAAAAGCAAAACAATGCCTATTTTCAAGGTGTTTCTAAAGGACAAGTAAATTCAAAAATAGAAAATCATAATGTAACAAATACTATAAAAGGTATTATATAGAATGTAATGAGGCTGAGAAGTGATACCTTCCTGAGCTTAAGGAAAACTCAGGCTCTTAAGACAAGCAAATGCTAAGCCACTTACAGGCAATAAATCATCCAAGCAGACAGAAACTGGCTTCTGTTTAGTGAGCCTGTAATGGTCTTAAACAGAGGCAAGGAACTAATGGTGAGAAAAGACCTGAAGGGGCTGTGATGGAAAGTGAGGCAAATGGGTGATCCAGGAGCAGGAGGAGGGCCTGTCTTCCAGTGTAAAGAGCTGGTACTTAATAATCAGCAAAGTCCTCTCAAAATTAGGCTCAACCCTAGGAAAAGGGAGACCCCAAATTGATGGACATTAATTTTCAGCTTCTTTAGTGGAATGAGAAACAGAAGCCATTAGAGAAATAAGTCCTATTTCTTACATGCCTAAATTTGGAAGATAATGTTTGTACCTGCCAAAGCTAAGTACACATAATTGCACCAATAAACATTTGATTTGACTTGCCACTTAATTGTTCTCTATTGGAACAGAGAAAAGAATTTTACATTTACACTGTGAAAGTAAAAACCTCCTTAAATTGTACCTGTTATTTCAAAGTGGTTCATTATTCCAAGAGTTAGTAAATTTTTTTATATAAAGGGCCAGCCAGTTGAGTAAATATTTTGTGTTTTCCAGGATCACTCCAGGGCTTTGCTGGGTGTTTCTCTCTCTCTCTCTCTCTCTCTCTCTCTCTCTCTCTCTCATCTCTCATCTCTCATCTCTCATCTCTCATCTCCTTTTTACAACCATTTCATATACACACACACACACAAAAGAAAACTTATTAATTTGGTTTTGTCTAGTAGCTACGGTATGCCGACCCTTGAATTATTCCATTAATAACTTTGCTTAAGGTAGTTTGAACAAACAAAAGTTGGCTAAAGACATAAAATTTAAGGGGAACTATTAATTTGAAAGCATTTTTTAAAAAATGCTGTTGAGCATATTGCATAGTTTTTAAAATTACTAAACCTTTAAGTTTAGAGGTGATAGAAACTTGTAAAAGAATTTAAACAATTCAGGAATTGTGACTAACCAAGAGAGTCAGTGACCTCTAAATTTATTTGACCAGGGATCAGTTTTTCCCATGTCTTTTCATACAAAGCCCAGTTGGAGAAATGATGAAGAAGATGATCCCTAAGTTGTCTTCTACCTTTACTATTTTGTTAAAGACCTTTTTTTTAAGTTTCTTTTTCTTCTGTTTGTTCTAATTATACATAACAACAGAATCATTTCAATACATTGTGCACAAATGGTGCACAGCTTTTCAGAACACAATTCATTATTACATCATTTTTGCCATCATAGATGTACCTAGGGTAATGATGTCTGTCTCATTCCACCATCTTTCCTATCCCATACCTCTTTCCCTCCCCTCACTCCCCTTTGCCCAATCCAAAATTCCTCCATTCTTCCCATGCCACCCCCCTGACCAACCCCTCTCCCCAACACACACATTATGGGTCAGCATCCACTTATCAAAGAAAATATTTGGACTTTGGGCTTTGGGGATTGGCTTACTTTGCTTAGCATGATATTCTCCAACTCCATTTATTTACCCACAAATGCCATAATTTTATTTACTCTTAATGCTCAGTAATATTCCATTGTGTGTATGTACCACAGTTTCTTTATCCATTCATTTATTTTAGGGCATCTAGATTGGTTTCACCATTTAGCTATGATGAATTGAGCTGCAATAAACATTGATGTGGCTCCATCACTATAGTATGCTGATTTTAAGTCCTTTTGGTATAGACCAACAAGTGGGATAGCTGGGTAAAATAGTGGTTCCATTCCAACTTTTCTGAGGAATCTTCATACTGCTTTCCAGAATGGTTGCACCAATTTGCAGTTCTATCAGCAATGTATGAGTGTGCCTTTTCCCTGACATCCTCACCAATACTTATTGTTGCTTATATTCTTGATAAGTGCCATTCTCACTGGAGTGAGATGAACTGTTAGAGTAGTTTTGATTTGCATTTCTCAAATTTCTATAATGTTGAACATTTTTTCATATATTTGTTGATCGAATGTATATCTTCTTCTAAGAAGTGTCTGTTCAGCTCCTTAGCCCATTTGTTGATTGGTTTGTTTGTTGTTTTGGTAATTTTTTTTTTTTTTAGAGAGTGAGAGAGGAGAGAGAGAGAATTTTTTAATATTTATTTATTTTTTTTAGTTCTTTGGCGGACACAACATCTTTGTTGGTATGTGGTGCTGAGGATCGAACCCAGGCTGCACGCATGCCAGGCGAGCGCGCTACGGCTTGAGCCACATCCCCAGCCCCTTGTTTTGGTAATTTTGAGTTCTTTATCTTTCCTGGAGATTAGTGCTCTCTCTGATGTGTGTGTGGTAAAGATTTTCTCCCACTCTGTAGGCTCTCTCTTCACATTATTGATTGTTTCTTTTGCTGAGAAGAACCTTTTTAGTTTGAATCCATCCCATTTATTAATTCTTGATTTTATTTCTTGTGTTTCAGGAGTCTTGTTAAGGAAGTCAGGACCTAATCTGACATGATGAGAATTTGTGCCTACATTTTCTTCTATTAGGTACAGGGTCTCTGGTCTAATTGCTAGATCCTTCATCCACTTTCAGTTGAGTTTTGTACATAGGGGTTATTTTCATTTTATGGCATATGTATTTACCGTTTTCCCAGCACCATTTATTGAATAGGATATCTTTTCTCCAACGTATGTTTTCAGTGCCTCTATTTAGTGTAACTGTATTTATGTGGGTTTGACTCTGTGTCTTCTATTCTGTATCATTGGTCTACATGTCTGTTTCAGTGCCAAAAGCATGCCATTTTTGTTACTATAGCTCTGTAGAATAGTTTAAGGTCCCATTTCACTCTTCTTGCTAAGGATTGCTTTGGCTATTCTGAGTCTCTTATTTTTCCAAATGAATTTTATGGTTGCTTTTTCTATTTCCATGAGGAATGTTGTTGGGATTTTACTAGGAATTGCAATAGATCTGTATAATGCTTTTGTTAATGTGGCATTCTGACAATATTTATTCTTCCTATTTAAGAACATGGGAGATCTTTCCATCTTCTAAGGTCTTCTTCAATTTTTTTCTTTAGTGTACTGTAGTTTTCATTGCACCTCTTTTGTTAGATTGATTCCCAAGTTTTGTTTTGTTTTGTAGATTGATTCCCAAGTTTTGTTTGTCTTTGAGGCTATCGTGAATGGGGTAATTTTCCTAATTTCTCTTTCAGAGGGTTTATCACTGATGTATAGAAATGCATTTGATTTATGAGTATTGATTTTATAGCCTGCTACTTTGCTGAATTCATTTATTAATTCTAGAGTTTTTCTGGTGGAATTTCTGGATCCTCTAAATTTAGAATCATGTTATCAGTAAATAGTGATAGTTTGAGTTCTTCTTTTTCTATGCATATCCCTTTAATTTCTTTTGTTTGTCTAATTGCTCTGGATAAAGTTTCATGGACTATGTTGAAAAGAAGTGGTGAAAGAGTACAATCCTGTCTTGTTAATTTTTAGAAGGAATGATTCCAGTTTTTCTCCATTTAGAATGATGTTGGCCGTGGGTTTACCATAGATGGCTTTTACAATGTTGAGGTATGTTCCTACTATCCCTAGTTTTTCTAGTGTTTTGAACATGAAAGGGTGGTGTATTTTGTCAAATGCTTTTTCTGCATCTATTATTATGATCATATGGTTCTTATTTTTAAGTC